AGGTATAATGAAACACTCAATCGATTTCGAGGGCAGCTAAAGGTCCCTCCTCATCAGGAGAAAGAAATACATAGAAAGAAGAAAATAGGAGGAGTCACAGAAACACGTAGTGCTAATCAGCACTGCACGTGGTTATAACTTCCATTATTTGAAGTTCAGATTTTGAGCGTAATGTGCATTTGCCCCTCGCTCCTTATTTTAACTTCGCTAATATTTCTTTATGCTTGATCAGACAGCCTGGCTCAGTAAAAGTAGGCGGCCAGTGCAACTCTGATTAAAAATCTAGTTATAACCACGTGCAGTGCTGATAAGCACTACGTGTTTCTGTGACTCCTTCTCCTATTTTCTTCTTTCTATGTATTTCTTTCTCCTGATGAGGAGGGACCTTTAGCTGCCCTCGAAATCGATTGAGTGTTTCATTATACCTACGCTAAATATAAGGTTGTTTTTTACGATTTTGATTGTCACATTAGCGTGTTTCTCTTCTAGTCTATCTTTAACAAGTCTGTTGAGATTTTTGCGCTTGCTGACGATATTGACATAGTCGCATACACTCCCAAGTCACTTAGAGAGGCTTTTACATCTTTAGAGGCTGCAGCCAGCAAAATGCATCTAGCAGTCAACCAAAATAAAACTAAATACATGCAATGTGGAAATAACAGCAGCCCCTATTTTGAAATTGGAAATTACAAATTTGAAATTGTAAGCAAATTTAAATATTTAGGATCAGAATTTAATACTCTAAATGATATATTGCCTGAGATCCGTAGTAGAGTCACAGATGCTAATCGATGTTTTTTCGGTATAAAAAAATACTTGAAGTCTAACTTCACTAGCAGAAAGACGAAGATTTTAACTTACAAAAGCTTAATCAGACCCATTCTTACATACTCTGCTGCGACCTGGGAAATGACAGAAAAAGCTAAAAGTATCATTTCTATCTTTGAAAGAAAAATTTTGTGAAGTATTTTTGGTGGCATAAAATATAACAATATCTGGAGAAGAAGAACTAACTCTATAAAACTTTTAAAGAAATAGATATAGTAAAATATATAAGGATTCAGATAATTAAATGGGCAGGACACCAGTGCAGAATGGATGAAAATCGAGTAACTAAAAAGATCTTCTCGGCCAGACCATTCGGCACACGAAAAAGTGGGAGACCTAAATTTAGGTGGCTCGACTGTTTGGAAAAAGACTTAAGAATTTTAAAAATAACCAACTGGATGTGTATGGCCAGGGATAGAAGAGCTTGGAATTCGATTCTGAGGAAAGCAAGGGCCCATCCTGGGCTGTCTGGCCATTGAAGAAGATATGTCTTTAAACTGCATTATTGTACAAATGATTCCTTACACATCACAAACACAAGATTTCTCAGTAGTGTGAATTAGCTTATACTTCTGCAAGTGAGATTTTTGTCAAATTGATCGTTCACGTACCGTGTTTACTCGCCTAATAGTCACACGCCCGTTTTGTGCGACTATTAGAAGTAGTTGAGAAAACAGAAAAAATTGTCAAAAGTGCACAATACTGCGTAGTAGATACCCCAGCATAATAGTCACACCTAGACTTTCACAATGAAAAACTGGCAAAAAAAAAAGTGTGACTATTACACAAGCAAACGTGATATATGTGTTTTCCCTTGGCATAAATAAGTCTATGTTTAATTAAATAATTTTTCATTAAAATAATTAGCAACAAATATCACATGTTTTCTCGTTAGTGTGAGTTTACTAACGAGAATCTGTCACTTCTATACAAAGATTCGCAGCATATTTCAAATTCACATAGTGTCCAACCAGTGTGATAAAGCAAATGTTTTTAAAAATCACTACTGATTGGAAAAGATCTGCAACAATTATCACATTGATGTATATTCTTAGCAGTGAGAAGCATTGCACATTTTCTTAGCAGAGTAAGCTTATGAATCTTTGGTACTTTTCTAAGCTAATAATTTCCTGCATATTTTACATTTATGTGGCTTCTCAGCAAAGTGAATAAGTGTATGATTCTTAAAAATACATAATTTGTTCACACTTGTGCTTTGGAGCAGAAATGTTTTGCTTCAGTTATCACATGCATATTCTTTTTACCAGTGCAATTAAGTCTATGTAAGTTGAAAAATTCGATTGAATTGTTCAACGTTTTTAAGGCACACCAAGGTCCTCTTTTTCTGACTGTCCTAGAGAAGAGGAATATTATTCCAGTTTTTTGTGCCCGCTTCGTACACAGGAGAGCTCCAACCTTTGGACTTAACTGTAAATGGTGAGTTTAAGTGTTTGCTCAAGAATGAGTTTATTGAGTGGTATTCTAATGAGCTTCAATTTCTAGAGGATAAAGAATCTGTGGACTTGCGAATATCACGACTAAAACCGATTCAGCTTCTTGGCTTGTGCGCGTATTTAAGGGTATTGAAGCCAAACATGAGATAATATTGAATGGCTTCAAAGAAGCTGGTATAAATAATATTCTAAGTGAATGAGCTGCCTTCTATTAATTTTATTGTTTTATATTCGAGAATTATAGTTGTACATTATTCAAAAAATAGTTATAAGAAAGAAAGTTGTCAAGAAAAAGCTTGCAACTGTGCAATAAATCATTAAATTTTGGGTAAGTGAAAAATTTCTGACTTTTTATTATTATTTGAGGCGGAAAAAAAAAAAAGTATTTCGCGAGGCTTAAATTTTCGCGATTACGATGGGCTTGCGAAAATAAGGGCCTTTACAGTAATTACTTTTGCATGAAAATGATTTGTTACAAATAATACTTTTATATTGTTTCTCAGCAGTGCAAATAAGCCTACACCTCTTTAAATCAAATTTGCTGTAATTTCATGTGCATGTGGTCTCTCAACAATATGAATTAGCATATGAAATTCAAAAACCACATAAATTCGAAAATCACTGATAAAGATTGACGGTTTTTCAGTGTGAATAAATTTACATCAGTTTAATATCAATTTACAATGTAAATGATATGTTACATATGTCAGATATGTGAGGTTCATTAGCATCAGTAAACACATACAACTTTGTTTTTAACCATACTTCAGAATTTCTGCATATATAACAAGTCAGCAGTTTCTGTTGATGATTTTTAAATGTTAAATATTTTAAAAATAAATATGAAAGCAAACTTGTAAAAGTACTTTATTAAAAGGCTTTCACAATAATCAGAACATCTGAAACTACAATAATCTCGACTGATGCCAGATTTAATAAACAACTAATATTTTTAAGCAAATAACATAAAGGTTGTCAAACACTGAAAATTAAAATAACTTCTTATATATAAATACCATCATTTTCTCTCCATAATAAATAAGACAAAAATAATATATAACTAAGACTAAATTATTCCTGAAACCGTTTTCTCTATATCATATGTTAGATAGATATCTGTTTCAGAATGACATACAGTGAATCATATATACATGATGCTTCACCAAACTAATAAGCATGATTGTTTCCCACAAACCTTTTGCTAAAATTATCATACAGTTTCATTGTCTCAACACTATATATTATAGTTTCAACACTATATATTGTAGGATATACATTAGGTGTTATTAGTATAATCTTCTATGCAAATGACTAATTGTATACATTACAAGTTTTCAACAGTATAAATACCTATATGTTGTTTCATAAGAATAAATTGAATTTAATTTAAAAAAATTAAATTTAAATACAAATTTAATTAAATATAAACAAATTTAAATTTAATTTTTAACAAATACGTATAAAAGTAAAAAAGCAAATTTAAATCCTAAAAAAAGGAAAAAAGCCAAAATAATTTTTAAAAAAATGTGCAAACATATAAAAGATTTGATACTCGAACTAATCTACAATATCATTTAAATTCAGAAGCATAAGCAAATCAAGTGTTTTTTTTTTACAATTTTTACACACTTTTTCAACAGAACACACATTTTACATTACAAACAGTTTACATTTTACTCACAATACCACTTCACTTTATTTTCCTTCAAGCAAACTTACATCTCTTGATTGGCTCAGTTCTTAACTCATTAAAAAATTGATAATTACTACCTTTAGGATTTTTAATTTTTAATTTAATTTTTAATATTAATGTTTACCAAAAACAAATTTTACTATAACAAAGATAGCAGCTTGACACTCAACTTTACCTACATAAGCGCCATCTATATAATTTGAAGAACACACTTACTTCTCTTTTACAACACTTTTGCAGACCCCAACACTCATATAGTAGGTAAGTTAGAATTAAAACTTACTATTTACTTGCTTTAAGTATTTTTTAAAAATTTTTATGTAATATCTAAGTATTTTCTAAATATGAAATTATATTTTTAAATATATATTTGTTTTTTAAAAATTGTGAATTAGTTCTTTTTGTTTCTTATTGGTTTATATGGATTATGTCTAGTTCTTTTGTTTCTTATTGGTTTATATGGATTATGTCTAGTTCTTTTTTAGTTTCTTTTTATTGATATGCATATTCGTGTAGGGGAGGTTTCTGTAGACAAGGGTTTCTAAAATACATTGGTTTCTAGATTATTTTTTTATAAAAAAATTAATTTTTTAAAAAAATTTAATTTTTTTAAAAAAAAGTTTAATTCTTGACTTTACTTGCTTGTTTCTCAAAAGACTTCATTAGTATTTTCCTTTTTGAACTTTAATTCTTAAATGTTAATTTCTAAGGGAACCACTTTATTGGAATTACTTTTACCCTTGCCTGCATGAATGACGAAATACGAATTGAATGATTGGAGAGTTAGGTTTGGAGGCAACTTCCCCTTGATAAGTCTGTCTCCTGCCTACTCAACGGTCATTCACATATGCATTTAAAAAAAAAAAAAAAAAAAAAATGTTTAATTTAATTTTAATTTATTAAATTAGTAAATTTATTTTCCTGGATAGATTTTGCACTTGATTTGCTTATGCTTCTGAATTTAAATGATATTGTAGATTAGTTTGAGTATTAAATCTTTTATATGTTTGCACATTTTTTTAAAAATTATTTTGGCTTTTTTCCTTTTTTTAGGATTTAAATTTGCTTTTTTACTTTTATACGTATTTATTAAAAATTAAATTTAAATTTGTTTAAATACCTATATGTTTGTATAAATAACAAGTACTCTCTGATTATCTGCCCTCCTTGAGAAGTCCTCAACTCATTCGTCACTAAGCTAAAATGCAGAAGGCAACAGCTGTTTAAAAAATGCTGGCACACTTAGAATTAAGAGAGCAATGAATCAATAAAATTAAAAAAGCATGAAAAATCCATAATAAGACACTAATCTTTTTCAAGAAATCCTCATGTAATTTTTTTGTACTGTCATTTTTCCCCATGTATATACCAATTTATTTTTGCTTAAAAACACATCTCAGAACTGTACATATTTGCCATCGCGCACACTATTTTCTTGCTGCATAACATAGAAACTCGTGTTTCTGCTTAAAAAATACATATACGTAGATACATAAAATAATTTGGCATCACTTACTAACTTGGCACTGAACATGCTGCTGTTCTTCCATTGTTCTTTGCTTAAAAAGCAGCACAGAATTGCACAAATTTGGCATTGCTTTTGAAGAAATGCAATGTTTTCTTTTTCATCTTCTAGCAAACTGCATATTTCTATTTTAATTTATTACATGGAAACAAACATACTGAATGCAAAAACAAATACCAACAAGAAAAACTAGCATTGAATTTAGAAGTTAGAAATCTGTGTGTACTGAAACACACATATCACAATTACCTCATACATACAGAAATGATTTAGATCTCATAATGGGTTGCCACATAATTATTTTGGCAACATAGTGCTTTGCCTTATGAATACTTTCCATGGAAATGCAGATAATTAGAAAGAACCAAATAACATTTTCATGCACATGATTAGCTTCAAATAAAAGATTCTAGTATATTTTCAGTGCAAGTTTGCCAATGACAGCAAACAGAAGACTTTCTCATTTCCACACATGAGATTTACTACACATTTCAGATAAATGTTTTTTCTCACAAGACTGACCATATCTGTCTACTTAAATAAGTTTTGCATCTAAATCGCATGCATATGGTTTCTCAGTGTGAGTTAGTCTATGTCTGTCTAAGTGAATTTTCTGTGAAAATGATTTACTACATATATCACACACATGTGTTTTCTTACCAATATGGAGAAGTCTATGTGTAGTTAAATTACTTTTGGAAGAAAATGTTTTGCCACATATATCACATATATGTTTTTTGTGACCAAAGTGAACACGTCTATGTCTACTTAAATAAGTCTGCCGTGCAAATGATTTATTACAAATATCACATGAATAATATGGTTCCTCACTAATGTGAGTTAGGATATGCCTCTCTAAGTGAAATTTCTGTGAATATGATATTCCACATATATCACATACATGTGTGTTACTGGCATGAACAAGCTTATGTGAAGTTAAATTACCTTTGGATAAAAATGATTTGCCACATATACTGCATACATGTGTTTTCTTACCAGTATGAACAAGTGCATGGGTAGTTAAGTTGCCTTTGGATGAAAACGATTTGCCACATGTGTCACATACATGTGCTTCTTTACCAGTATGAACAAGTTTATGCATATTTAAACTACTTTTAGATGAAAGAGATTTTTTACAAATATCACATGCATATGGTTTCTCCCCAGTATGAGTAAATCTGTGCAGATATAAGCTACTTTTCCGTACAAATGACTTGTTGCAAATTTCACATGCATGTGGCCTTTCACCAGTATGTGAAAGCAGATGATTTTTAAAATAACTTTTGGTTCGAAATGATTTGTTGCAAATGTCACATTGATATGGATTCTCACCTGTATGAATACGCCTATGACTGTTTAAGGTACTTCTTACTGTAAACGATTTCCTGCATATATCACATTCATATGGTTTTTCACCTGTGTGAATAAGTGTGTGCTTCTTCAAATGACTTACGAATGAAAATGATATGCCACAAATATCACATTTGTGTGGTTTCTCACCAGTGTGAATAAAAGTGTGTTGCTTTAAATGACATTTAGATGAAAATGATAAGCCACAAATATCACATTTGTGTGGTTTCTCACTTGTATGGATAAAAGTGTGTTGCTTTATATGACTTTTGGATGAAAATGAGATGCCACAAATATCACAGTCGAATGGTTTCTCACCAGTATGAATCAGCCTGTGTTTTTTTAAAAGACATTCCTCTGCAAACAATTCACTGCATATTTCACATGCATAAAATTTCTCACCAGTGTGAATAGGTGTGTTTACATGGAGTTCATCAGTATCAGGAAGTACATGTGACTGTTTTTTTTGCATGTTTTTCTCTCTCCAGAACTCTTCAAATATAACTGTGTAGTATATACACATATATTTTTACTTAAATCACATCTGGAAATGACTTATTTTATATATACTATAATAATACTTTTCCTCACCTCTGTCGATGCATATTTACATAAATTTAGCTATAGTAGAAATAAATTTTCTATGTAAATATACATTTTTTTTTTAATATGTTGCAGTTACCATGCATTCGTTGTTCGGAATTTTGTCAGCATGGAAATATGATCAATTCATTTCAAATTCACAGATGAATGCAAGAAAAGTACACATGATGCACATGAAGTTTTTTTTTTATCATATCGCAGAAAAAAGGTTTCCAAATATGTTTTACTCCTGATGATTTGTAATTATGTATATTTTAATGAAAACACTGATGATACACTTCTCCTGTTAATGCCCATAAAGCTCTGTAACACGTTTACACACAAGGGAAAAACAATCCACTTTCAAAACTGTATATTTTGATTTGGAACAATGCATCAGTTTTTGTCTGTGCAGGAAAGGGAAAAATTTTACTAGCATCACTTCCTCTTCTACAGTATAGGCTTTCTTGCTCTTTTATGGACAGTCATGTATCTTACATAATTACTCACTGTTATGGTCAAAGTAATATGAGTTTTTATCATATTGTTAAAGATTGTGATAAAATTTGGGCAAAGATTTCATGAAAGCAGATTTTGCAGCAACACACGCATATATATGGATACTGTGGAATGGCGCACAAAAATACCACATTTCATGCTAATTATGCGGCTTTGAAACTCTAACTTTATATAAATGACAGATTAAATATGATAAATTTACATCATTATAATGCACATTTCTCCTTTTGGAATGTTCAAAACATTCATTGAACTCTTAAGGTCTGAAGTTATATTAGGTAATCATGTAAAAATCTTTCACACGTCAAACTACCAATGTTTTTAGGGTAAGAAGAATAATGAAACAGATGGCTTAAAAATGTTTATCTTATTTTCTCATTTAGGTAGCATCAGATAAGTTATACACTAGATCAGGAGATGCAACAATACAGTTTTTTTCAATTTATTTCTGATAGTTCTCATTTCGAATCGCGTATTGTGAACACAAATAATGAGTCACTTTGAAATTGCAGCGCAGGTAAACAAAGATGAATAACCTCCACGAATGTAAATTTTTCCCATCAAAACTGCAACGCAATAGCTGATTTTTCTTTGATTGCTTGTTTTAGAGCAACGTTTCATAAAAGAAAATACTTTCGACGAATTGTTTCCTACAACTAATTCCATACGAAATTCGCACAATTGTTTTCAAACATACATAAAAATTAAGTTGCCAGATGAAAGTCGCACATTTATACTAGATTTCGATATTCTTCGGAGAACAGCCTTAACGCCAAAAAGGGAGAAACAACTTATTGTGAAAGAGCAGGATGCGAAGGTTGTCAAAACCCAATTACTACCTTTTTTCGCTAGAAACAGCGACCTGTCCACAAAAAAACAAGATTTTGCTCTATAAATCAGTGATAAGGCCAATTCTGACATATGCTAGTCCTGTATAGGGCGCAGCAGCAATTACTAACAGGAAACATAATCCAAATTTTTCTGAATATTATGCTACAGCAAATTTATAAAGCTCCTTGGTTTGTTACGAACGAGGACATTCATAATGCAGCCAAAATTTCCCTGTGAATCGCTTTATACAGCGACTTTCGGCTAATTTTTTCCAAAAGATTCCTTCGATCGGAAACCCCGTATTCCACTGCCTGACTGTTTATCATCCGGGAAATGCATCATCAAGAGAAAGACCCAGAGCTACTCTGGAGAACACATATAATGCGCTTCCTTTTTCCAAAAGGCGTTGCTACAGAGACAAGACGCCTCAAAAGTTTCACTACTCTCGTTCCCGCCTCCCCCCCGCGCCTGAGTGAATTCGCTGATCTTTCAGCTTCATTGAAAGTGGTTATTCGTGGATTGCCTGACGACTCGTCAATGAATGATAAATCCTGAATGAATGACCTGAATGATAAATAAATCACAGCAGCACTGTTTCTCGATGTAGCCAAGGCCTTTGATCGTGTCTGGCACGGCGGCCTACTCTACAAACTCATCAACCTGGGTATACCAGGGCACATCACTCACATCCTTCACTCTTACCTAAAAGGTCGTCAATTTGTCGTTCGTGTTAATAACACAATCTCCACCCCCAGGCTCATCAGAGCCGGGGTCCCCCAGGGTCCCTTCTCGGTCCCCTATTATTCAACCTTTACACGAACGACATCCCACAAACACCCAACACCACTCTTGCACTCTATGCAGATGATACTGCGATTCTCTCTCAAAGTGCATCTTTTAGCTCAGTCGTTACAATATTACAAATTCACATATATGCACTGGAATTATGGCTTGTCGCCTGGAAAATCCAAGTTAACGTCCAGAAATCTGATGCCATCCTCTTCACCAGACTAAGAAAGGACATCAACAGAAATATCAAGCTCCATATGTATGGAGAACCAATCCCTTGGACTAAGCAGACCCTTTAACTAGCGTCATTTTAGACGACCAACTCACTTAGGCCCCACACATTACACATATTCTTTCCAAGTTCCGAGCACGTAAAAGTACACTTACCCCCTTAATTGCTCGGAGCTCAGCGTTGTCTCTTGAATGTAAGTTACTGATCTATAAGGCTATTTTGCGTCCTGTGCTCACTTATGCCTGCCCTGTATGGGGATATGCCAGCCCCACAGCCATCAAAAGGATACAAACTATGCAAAATGTTGTACTTCGAGAATTGACAAAGAGCCGCTGGTTCATACGTAACGAAGCTATTCACCAAGAATCTGACATCTTAGAAATACAAACCTACTTTGCCAAACTGGCGAAAAGATTCTTTGATAACATCAATAAAGTCAATAACCCTACCATTCCCATACTGTATTATGACCCAGCGAGCAATGTCAATAAAAAAAGACCTCGAGCGGTGCTTCGGCACCTCCTCTAGGCCATGTGTTACAGTGTACCTAAACAAAAAAAAAAAAAAAAAAAAAAAAAAAATGTATATATGTTTTCATATTCTTTTTTAATGCATTGTATTCCATGTATGTAATTGTATTACCTATCCCTGTAAAATGTACGTTCAAATAATGTTCTGTACATGTAAGTCAATCTATAACGCATTGTGGCAAACTTCTTCGGGAAGCAATTTCAAGCATTTCTTTACCTGCACACTCGATATCATTCTGCGCACATTACTTGCACTTCTCTCACTTCAAGCGTGCTGTCCCTCAGGAGTAGCATTGATATCCTGGGTTCTTCAGATGTTCGGAAACTTCCCTGCAATTATGCCGGTCAACTAATTACGTCACATACTTCCAAGGACTGTTATGGAACTCTGTTTACATTCCTTTCCACGTGTTAGAAAATCGGACATTATGTTATTCACGGGGTAACGCTCCTGCGTAAGTACCCGAACTGCAAGACCCCCAGCCTTGCCTGAACCGACGACTCGTCTGTGGAGGAAATCAAGGCTGAGTTGGTTAAAGATGGATTCCCTGTGTTAAACGTAACGCAGTTTACCAAGAAAATTGATGGAAAAGAAATGAAGTTACCAGTTTTCTTTGCATCATTCAAGAGGAATGATGTGAGTAGAAATATCTACAGAAAGAAAACTCTGCTGGACCTTAGAGTCAAGTTTAGAAGATACAGATGCAATCTAAGCAACATGATTTGCTTCAGATGTCAACGATATGGACACGGTCAGATGTTTTGTAACAATTCGCCAAGATGTCTCAAGTGTGGGCAGGGACACCTGACCTAAACATGCAAATTAGCCAAAGAACTGAAACCTACTTGCGCGAACTGTAAAAAGGATCACACATTGCTACTTCGAAGTTATGCGAATTTAAAGCCAAAAGTTCGTGTTGTCTCTGACAGGATGAAAAGGAATTTCAGCGCGGAAGTCCGCAGTCTATGAGTATTTGTCTCCGTTGACTGACGGAAAGCATTACAGAAAGAAAATAGTATGCCATCAGACTCCCACTCTCAGATGCTAGTACTCCAGCCAAAGTGGATTTCGCGATGGATAAAAACCTTCAGATGATTGCAGTCAAATTCCTAGAATTTGTTGAAAAATGTAAGAAAATTGATTCGCCGCAGGACAAAGTATTACTTGCCCTGGGAATGGATGAACAGATGATAAAGATGGACTTGTAATTTTTCTCCTATTTTTATTGCATGATGAATTTGATGTTAACTTTGCATAATTTCTAGTGTGCTCGGGCTTCAGGGGATAGCACCGCCCTCCGGACTCTGCGTTCCTGCTCTGGTTAGTAGACACGCCTACTTCTCATGACTTACACCTCCCTCTACGCCTGCCATGCTTAGGGCTTTTTGTTTTCACCACCTCAATACCTCAGCTTCAACTTCAGAATTTTTTAAAGTCATGTGCTTATATGCAACTCTTCATGAGCTGGAAACAGCGGGCTTCGCGCGCTATCCCAGCAATATTTGTCTGATTGATTGATCCCAGTCACTCAAAGGAAAAAGACCTCGCGCCGGGTCTTGTGCCTGCCACCGAATCCTGTCCGATAACGATCTCACTCCCTGTCTGGCTCTTATGCTTATCAGTCTACGATCTCTATGATGGATGCTCAGTGGACATCGCCACTTGCCATATAATTGCCGGTGCTTATCTGTCTTTGTATGTCATTGCTTGTCTGATATCTTCGTGTTTTGCGGCGCGATTTTAACTAACCCGATTCAGGTTGTATAGTCTATCTAGTTACCTTCAAGCTCACACTGTCAGGGGTGAGTCAGGGGCCTGATAGACTTCCGCCTGCCCATCTGTTTGCCGGAACGCCTTCATGCGGGTCCGGTTCCAGGGCGCAAGTTTCTCTTACTAACCAGGGCGCTGGATTTTATGGCTCTCATACGTTCGCCATGGAAACCAGTCTAACGATGGAACGGCTGATTGAATATTATCGTATTCAAATCAAGGAATTAGAGAAAAATAAAGAGCTTAATGGCTCTTTCTCAGAAATTGAGAAGAAATTGCATTCCTTTCTCCTAAGCTCATTAGAGATGATTAATGTTCTTAACGAACAAAACACCAAAGCAAATCAGGACAAAATTGTGAGGAAATTCAAAACTTAACTTGTAATAATGATATGTCTAACCACCCTTCCTTTTCAGACAATGACAGAGGCCGTAGCCCTATAAAGCTACGAGATGATTCTTCAACGAATAGTGACGAGGAACTAACTTTAGACAAAACTATCAGCTCTGATGATGACGTCCCTAAACGAAGAGGCGATCAAACTGTTAGGAAAAGATTAAATTAAGTCAAACCACGCAGGTTATTACGCCCATTGCTGACAAAATCAGCCAGGAAAATCGAGAAATTACTTCTCCTAACATCACAGATAAGAACACCACCAATTATGAAACTAACGTTCAAAACATCAGTGCTCAAGAAGATAATCCGACTATGGACACCTCTACTCCTAATGAAACTACTGATCCCCCTACAGAAAATAGCATAGGAAATAATACAAATCAGGAAACAAAACAAAATAAATTACCACCGATTATTCTAAAAGAGAATAAGTACACGTATGGAAAAATAAAGAAAATCTCTGATCAGCCCAAATTCCAATTTATCGACAATAGTATCCCAGATGGCATTAAAGATACAACCACTAACGCAGATACCTACAGATCAATGGTGAAGATACTTAAAGACCTGGGGTGGAACATCATTCGTATATTCTATCCCAGGATAAGAAATTAAAAGTGGTTACAAAAGGATTTCTCAGAAGTACCGAAATCGATGAAATTCAGGAGAATCTTGAACATCTTGAATATAAAGTTGAAGAAATTAAGCAAATGTCACGACGCAAAAACGGAGAAGTTTCCAAGCTCCCTCTTTTCCTCATTACACTACCTAAAAGTGAAGCTTCTCAAACCATTTATCAGGAACGATTTTTATGCAGACTGAAAGTAAAAGTGGAAGAATACAAAGGGAGGCAAGGCCCCCTACAGTGTTTCAAGTGTCAGGGATTCAATCACACACGATTTGGTTGCAATTATCAACCCAGATGTGTCCGGTGTGCCGGCACTCACGAATCGCGAGACTGTCCGGAAAAAAATAGTAAAGAAAAACCTCTCGCCTGTGCAAATTGCGGCCAGAATCACACTTCAAGTTTTAAGGGATGTGTAAAATTCCTAAAACCAACAGAAGATAATACTAAAATGTACCAGAGTAGAATCATCGACGGTAAAACTTATGCCCAA